AATCGAGGGGCTCTGGCGGTCCTCGCAGTGCTGGTGTTAGTTTGCGGGAGCAGAGAAAAAACCACTGCCGAAGCTTTGCCGGGCAGCGAAATTAGGGTTTTGTGGCCCCTCAGGTCGGGCCTGGCGCAGAGCTGCCTATGCACCTGGAGCCTGCGGCCAATGTACGTACTATGTACCCAGGTAGCTTTTTCGAGCCCCTCCTTCGCTTCAAACCCTTTTGAGCCCATTGCTCTTTTGGAGCTAACAGGGCGGGGTGACGTTTTTTTTTCTGCCACCCAACTGCCCCTCCTTCGACCGCCAGGCGCAGTTCCTACGAAAGTCGTGGAGGGGTCAACAGGACAGACAGATGATAATACAACCTGGAGTCAATTTCCAACCTGCCAAACTCATTTAAACGCATCAGACTGGCCAAGGCACCTATTCTCAGAGAGGCCAATCAAACCTTGTTTTGTTTTTTTAGAATAGTCTCACAGGCCACCCATCCGTAGAAAGGTCATTCAAGTGCATCTGGAGGTGGGGCAGACAGTCCTGCCCAACCAGTGGACAAGCTCCCTAGGCCATCATTATTACTCATCCGGGGCGGCAACCTATTGAAGGCAATCCCTCACTCCGGAACCTCCTTTCCCCGGGCTTTACACAAGAGACCTTCAACTCTCTTTCGCCTCTTGAAGAAGAGACAAGGGTAAAAAGGTCGAGGTGTATTTATATATTCCACACCTCAGGAACAGTTTCTACTTTGTCGTGGCCCCAGTCTTGTCATAGTGGAATCTGTAGAGCATACGCGACCATTTATTCCCCACGAGATCATCAGTAGACTGGACAGAGACCATTCTTCTCCTATACTTCTCTCCCCTACAATTTTTGTGTCTCCTCTTGGCACTAGTAAACCAATCACCAGCTTCCAACAACAAAATGCCTGTTGTCAGTCCTGAGAAGCTGGTTGGCCTACAGGCCCGGGCTGATGATGTCCGCAATGTAATATTCAGTTCTATCTCTCACCCTGAAAATCTAGTCCTATTCACTAACCCCATTGCCAGATTTGTATCCTGGCCCACGTGGACCATGGGAAAACATCCCTGACAGATGCTCTGATAGCCACAAATGGCATCATATCTCCCAAGATGGCTGGCAAGATCCGCTATCTAGACTCGCGGCCCGACGAACAGCTTAGAGGGATCACGATGGAATCTTCTGCGATTTCCTTATATTTTTCAATGCTCAGGCGTCCTGCTCCTGATGCCGATCCGGTCCCTAAGGAATATCTGATTAACCTGATAGATTCCCCGGGCCACATTGACTTTAGTAGCGAGGTTTCAACCGCATCGCGTTTGTGTGATGGCGCTATCGTTCTAGTAGACGCCGTGGAAGGAGTATGCAGTCAGACAGTCACAGTCCTGCGCCAGTCGTGGACAGAAAAGTTGAAGCCTCTGCTCGTTATTAACAAGATGGATCGCCTCGTGACGGAGCTCAAGATGACCCCCGGAGAAGCCTACATCCATCTGAGCAAACTCTTAGAGCAAGTCAATGCCGTCCTGGGTAGTTTCTTCCAAGGAGAACGCATGGAGGAAGACTTGAACTGGAGGGAACGCATGGACGAACGAGTTGCCGCAGTTGCTGCCAAGGAGGCGGCGTTGGCTAGCCAAGAAGTCGAGACAGATGAATTACAGTTTCAAGAGCGAGATGACGAGGAGATCTACTTCGCCCCAGAGAAGAACAACGTCATCTTCAGTAGTGCCATCGATGGATGGGCCTTCACTGTCCGTCAGTTTGCCAGCCTATACGAAAAAAAGCTAGGAATTAGGCGCAATATTATGGAGAAAGTACTATGGGGAGACTTCTACCTGGATCCCAAGACGAAAAAGGTTCTCGGCCGAAAGCATCTCAAAGGACGAAACCTCAAGCCCATGTTTGTTCAGCTAGTTCTTGAGCAAGTATGGGCTATCTATGCCGCCACCACGGGAGGCGATAACGGCAAAGGGTGAGGAACACCTGGTCTTTCTGTTTTGTTTCTTGAGTATGATGTCTAACTAGACCAGTGATCCAACATTGTTGGAAAAGATTACCAAATCACTAAATATTTCGATCCCTCCTCACATCGCTCGATCCAGAGATACGAAGCTATTGCAGAACACATTATTCGCATCGTGGCTCCCGCTATCAACTGCGCTGTTGGTCTCCGTCATTGAATCGCTCCCCTCGCCTAAGGTAGCGCAGAAAGAAAGACTTCCAGAGCTTTTGGACGATTCGCCCGGGTCAGATCATATCGATCCTACAGTTCGGGAGGCCATGGTTCAATTCAAGACGTCCAAGACAGATCCTGTAGTGGCCTACGTGAGCAAGATGGTTTCTATACCAGAGAGCGAGCTGCCGCAGAACAAGCGAAAAACTGGCCAATTAAGCCCCGAAGAGGCTCGGGAGCTTGCGAGAAAGAAACGTGCAGAACTCGCTCGAGCCCAGGCAGCAGAGACGAACGTGAATGATCTCACTCAGGCATTGGAGAACACATCACTGGACGACGTTGTTCCCGAGTTAGAGGAGAAGGAAGCCGAACCCGAGCACCTGATTGGATTTGCGCGAATGCTGTCTGGTTCTTTGTCTGTAGGGGATGAGCTCTATGTCCTTCCTCCGAAGTTTTCGCCGGCTCATCCGCATGCAGCCCCCGAGCCGCAAAAGGTTACTGTCACAGCGCTCTACATGCTCATGGGTCGGAATTTGGAGTCACTCAACACTGTCCCCGCTGGTGTGATATTCGGTATTGGAGGCTTAGAAGGGCACATCCTCAAGTCAGGTACTTTGTGCAGCCAGTTAGAGGGATCGGTGAACCTGGCTGGAGTGAACATGGCTGGTAAGCCGATCGTGCGTGTAGCATTGGAGCCAGTCAACCCTGCCGATCTTGACAAGATGATCAACGGCCTGAAGCTGCTCGTGCAAAGTGACCCTTGTGCAGAATATGAGCAGTTTGGCAGCGGTGAACACGTCTTGCTGACTGCAGGCGAGTTGCACCTTGAGCGATGCTTGACGGATCTCAAGGAACGCTTCGCGAAGTGTGAGATTCAAGCCGGTGCACCGATTGTTCCATACAGAGAAACTATAGTAAGAGCAGAGGAGATGCGACAGCCGGCAAATAAGGAGCTTGGGCGAGGCGCCGTTGTTGGGGTTACAACATCGAAGCAAGTGAGTATCACACTAAGAGTGCGACCGCTCCCGGAGAAGGCCACAGAATTCCTCTTGAAGAATTCCGGTGCCATCAAGAAATTATATACCGAGAAGAGCACACTACACGAAGTCGGAGCGAGTAGCGGAGTCGAAGTAGAGCCGGAGGATATCGAAGCGGACGATGATGTTCTCCAGAGCAAAGCCCTATCTGCCGACGAACTAAAGCAGCAGTTACAGGTTATTCTTGAGAGCGGCAAGGGCCGTGAGACGTGGAAGGGATTTGTAGACAAGATTTCCGCATTCGGGCCACGCAGAACGGGACCTAACCTACTTTTGGATGCAACAAGCGATGGATGCTTTCCCAAAGTCTTCACCTCTAGCGTCAATGGGAAGGGCCCTGCCGTCGATGAGAAGCTAACTGCTGCCCATCTCTGTGACAAGATTACATATGCCTTCCAGCTGGCGACGAACCAAGGTCCCCTCTGCAACGAGCCAATGCAGGGCGTTGCGGTTATCATTGAAGATGTGTCGATCACTTCAACGGAGGAGGAATCATCGGCCAGAGACAGCCTGGGTAGGTTGACTGGCGAGGTCATCAAGACCGTCCAGCAGTCCATGCGCCAGGGCTTCCTTGACTGGTCTCCTCGTCTCATGCTCGCCATGTATTCCTGCGAAATTCAAGCAAGCAGTAAGTCTAAAACACAGACAACCTTCTAGTTCCCCCCAGCCTTAACGTGTTCTTTTGCATGTGCTGACCCGATCGATCTGACTCCAGCCGAGGTCCTGGGCCGCGTTTACGACGTGCTCACCCGCCGCCGCGGGCGCGTCATGGCCGAGGCCATGAACGAGGGCACGCCTTTCTTCACCATCTCGTCGGTCCTCCCCGTGGCCGAGTCCTTCGGGTTCGCCGACGAGATGCGCAAGCGCACCTCGGGCGCCGCTCAGCCCCAGCTCATATTCACGGGCTACGAGGTTCTGGACGAGGACCCCTTCTGGCAGCCCTTCACCGAGGACGACCTCGAGGACCTCGGCGAGCTCGCCGACAAGGAGAACGTCGCCAAACGCTACATGGACGGTGTGCGCCGCCGCAAGGGCCTACTCGTCGAGGGCAGGGGCGAGAAGCGCGAGGCCAGCAAGCAGAAGACGTTGAAGAGGTGAAGGCAGTATGTAGAATTAAGAATATAAAAAATTCGAAAATAGAACAAGAAATTCAGAAAAGAGCGCAGAAAATATCTATTGTTTTAAGTGTCACCTCGCCGTCTTCCGCCCTCTTGAGCAGTCCCATATAGAGATAGTTACACCATGCCATATTTGACGTATTAACTTATTGGAGCACAATGTTTGCACCTTTCGCATTTCTTTCACTCCGTCCTTCTACCCTTCTTGTTAAGCTTCTATAGAGAGACCTAAATCGGGATATGGTATCGTGAAATTTTCTCCTGCTTTACACAAAAACTACAAAGTTACGATATATTTTTGTTGTTTACAAAGGAAACGTGCCAGATCACAACCATCTCAAGAATAATGTTACCATCGACTATCACACCACCTTTGACGCTACGTAAACACAACAGTGATGTGATTCATTGTATTACGATTTAATAAAGTCATGATTGTGTGCTCACAGGTTTGTAGCTGTCTCATGAACTAGATGGTAAGTAAGCCCACTTTCGGATCGGGTTTAGAAATATGAAACTCATGACCTTTCAAAAATAAAATGAAATAAATTAAAATAAATATATAAACAAAAAAAAAACAAGAGAGTAGAACAATTCGTGGTAAAATGGTGTGGGATAAAATCAATTGAAGTGAGTAAACAAAATTCAAAAAAAGAAGAGATCCAATAGCATCTCCTGGTTTCGATCCAGGGACCTCCGGGTTATGAGCCCGGCGCGCTTCCGCTGCGCCAAGATGCTTTATTTCTTGGATTTGTTGAATACAGGACGACACTATTTGCTACCATATGCTAATATCGGATCCATTGTATGAGTCACTAAATTTTGAAAAAATTCCCTTCACTTCTCTCAGGCCTGGTGTCACGCTGTGCCGCTGTTTGAGGGTTTTCTTTTACTTAAAACCGACTCGGAGGTGGGGACGGACTAAATTTTTTTTTTTGGGGCCCTACGTATCGGCCAGTTTCGCTGTTCCGGCATTCCATTCGGACGAGGGAACTACGCACACTAGCCGGTGACCAATTCTGCTTCAGTCTTGCGCATCAATGCCATTGAACAATGCGAAGACGGTGCGGTGCGTGTACGGTACGGACGGTAGGCTGAACCAAGTGTTCCATTGGGCTTGACCAGCACACACAAATCGCCGACACAAGATCGCATTAGCTGGCGGGAGAGGCTCGTTGCCTGGACGCAACCCATTTCTGTACCAAAGAAGGAGATTACAAAGTCCTTACACTGTCTCACGCGATTTGGAGCCTGGTGATACTGAGCGGCTGCGTCCATAACTCTGATACAATCGTCACGAATCACCCCAGTGGGGAACGTCCAGTATTGTCACTATCGCGAGATGACGGGGAAGGAGCCCAAGCTTCTCTCATCTGTTCTTCAAATTACTATAGTCGGAACAGCATAACTGCTTCTGAGACGCGACAAGAGAAATTAATACTGAGCCCCCCGAGAATTGGAAGATTCCGAAGTACCGAGAAACATTGGATACGGATCGAGAATTGCGGTCGAAATGACGCAGCGACGTGACATAGCCATAGGTGCCTGAAACTACCGGACGGAATGGCTTGTTCATAGTCTGCGAAGAGAGTGAAATGAAAGAGCGGCTTCGAGCCAAGCACTTATCACACTCTCCAAGGAGCAGGTCGGCGATCTTATGATGCCATGATAGACCAGAGATAACTAGAACCGAAAGCCCGATGCTGCCGTAGGTGTTGATAGCATAGCGTCATCGAACCAAGGATCAACCAGGAAGGCAATTGATTGTGTGAGAGTGGACATGGTTAACGCATGGGGATTTTCAAGCTGAGCGTCACTCTAGCCGGTATGAACCATCGTTCTGGGTAGCCCACTGTTAGTACGTGTCGATTATTTTTGGCTCCCTGTGTTTCCGGGGATCATCTCAGTACTGTACTTGGTACTCCGACCTACTCTGTCCCGTGTGGTAAGTTGAATCCGGAAGAAGCGGCTAGACTATCAAACGCAAGAAACGAGCAAAAGGCGCCGCTCTTGGCCCGTTTCCGTGTGCAGCTCCCAGTTGGGGGCTCATTTGCCATTGTAAGGGGGGCAATAATATGCGCCTCGTGTTGCCAGAATGGTCTGGCATGGCTTGTTGTAATAATGGGGACTGGTTGCCAATAGGGGAGTCGGTCGAGCAGTTTAGTTAGGATCCACCAGTTGCAGACGTCGACGAGAGCGAGACCAGTGTGCAGCAGCTACTGAGGCTTCGAATACGAAACATTTGTGCGCAAGAACGGAGATTTGGTGGACCGCATTCATGGATACATCTGCATCCGAAGGATACCAGCATCGACTTTGCAACTTCCATATGCGATGCTAGGATCAAATAGTTCAGGGCAGGTTTTGGAGTCTCCGAAAGCAAGCACAGTGTCCCTGTAATTCAGGGTTTCTTAGCCGGGTCCTGGGGCAGCACGGGCTTCCATGCTGAGGAGGGGAAGGGGTGGGCCTGCTCACCACTATCAAATAGTTTGGGCCGCCCAAGGGACACCTGAAAAAGGGGGGTGTGGCTTTAAGAAACTCCCTCTCTTCCGGAATGTGCAGGGCACTAAGTACTATGTCGCTTACACTTGGGACTAATCCTCGTCGAGTAATGTGCGAATCTGAGCGGAGAAGCCGCCTTTTTATTGGCGCGGCGAGGGATTATAGCTCAGCTCCAGTGGAACTAATCTCTGGATCAATGAAGTGAGTGATTGACCGGAGCGACTTTGCTTCCGCCAGCATCAAACCACTGACAGATAAATGGGGATTGACATCCACAGATAGCCAAGGAATGTATGGCTATTTAGATTTACTAATGACGTTATTAAATTCTCTGCAGGAAGCAGAGTCAGCTGAGTCTTCCGGCTATGAACAGAGAAAGGACCCAATAATAACAACAATAATAACAATAAATCTGTTGTTTCCAGTAGAAGGCGATAGATGGGAAGCCATCGAAGTACTGAAGAGATCATCCCCGATGACGGGCTTACTGGAGCCGTCCAACAGAAGCTTGCGGAGGCGAGTAAGCCATTCGGAGGAAACCTAAGCGCAGCCTGTAGGTTAAACGGAAAGGAAGTGTGCCATTTTTGGCGTTCTGGAACACATAGCCCGAGCCGCTCCGTCTTATTACATCAGACTTTTTTTTTCTTCCCTTTGGCGGCCAGTAAGTTTTGGCCCTCGACACAGCTTGCCAAGACGTCCAGCTGCGCATCTACTTCCAGGTCACCCCCGTCTGGTTGCAGCGGCACATGGCAACGCTTCCTATCCTGGGATGATTAGTGGGCGTCGTTCAGAGGGTTGCGCTGACAGGAGCGGCGGGTCAGCGAATTAGCATGTGGGCAATCCATTTTAGAAAGGTTGCTTCCCGCATATATATACCGGATGAGGTACAAAAAAATTAATTTGCTAAGACGTAAGTGATGAGTCGGGCAAGTTGCTTGCGGAATAGTCTTGAAGTTGCTTTTCCAGCTGTTCGAATAGCTATCACGTGCTAGGTGCATCAGTCCAGGCCAGATGTAAGGAGGTGAGGGTGGACATGGACTATGTGGCTCCTTGGCAGCTTGGGTATAAGTTGACGCTATCCAAGGGTCTGGAGATGTGGTGTGGTCAGCCCTGCACAGAGCAAGTGCTTCATGCTGTAAAAGGGGTGGTCTATAGCCAGGTCTTACAACCTCTTCCGATAAGCTATCCATATTACAGTACGTGCGGTTGGTTGCACCACTAAACTGCTGACGTAGAGGTATCAGGGGTCATTCGTCAGGAGTTGGGGAATTAACTATGTCTAATCCCAACAACAAATCCTCTCCAAGACCAAAGAGAAGTATGTATTACACGAGGCGTGGTCAGGCGTGGTAGCACTTGCGTAGTCGCAGTACGTAGTGTAGTAAATCAGAACCCTTGTCCCTCGGTGACTTTTTGTTGCCGAGCGTGAATGGGCCGAGCCCATGAATCTTTGGAGGAGACGAAAAAGTGACGATTGTGGCGGGCCTGCTTGCAAAAGATAAAAACACCCTAGCAAGGAAGCGATCTTGCTGCAAGAGTCATGACACCGAATAGGTCGCACAGTTACAGGACTTGGTGGGAAATCTTAAAACAGATGCGTTTCTTAGCTTGATGTTGGCTTCATCCGCGCAATTAGTAATAGCGGCCGAAAAGCAGCTGGCGTCTGCACGGAGGGGTAGGTCACGGTGGAAGGACGGCTGATGTGGAACGACATTGTTCAGACAGACACGCCGCTTGTCAGACCGGCGATGATGCTATGTAGCAACAGGAGGTAGTCCAGACAGATGATGAATGGAGTTTGACATGCCCCATTTGGTCGAGGTTGATCGGCCAAGTGAGATCACACTTTGGCTCAGTCACGATCACCTACTATGGAGGAGTCAGCTGTTAGTCGTGCTTCGAAGGGGCAAGGCACATCCATAATTGAACAAATAATGCACCGCTTCGATACACTCTGAAAGGGTGTATATGCGCGCCGGCAGCCACGTATTCGCCAACCACAGCGAATCAAGACCAATAGGCGGGTTTCAAACGGGCTGATCGACGTCTGTGAGGAGGAGGAGGTTGCCAAGCTAGCTGGGGCCCCTTCAGTTGACGACGTGTAGTAATTTGTATAGAGACCATTTCTCCATCTGACCAGGGATGGCTCCTGGCGAGGCAAAGTGACACGGGATTCTACGTCGCCGATGGAAACGGAGGTGGCCACTGGCGAGAGCAGGGTACCCAGTACAATGTGCTTTGTTCGCATTCGACTTTTCTTACCAGTCATCGTGCGCTTCCTCGAAACAATTATGGCACCGCTCCGCTCTCAAGTCCCCAGGGTCAGGAAAAGTTTTGAGTGCTTGCATGACTTCGACTCCGTCAGGGTGGGGTTCAGACTTGGGAAGCCTGCTTCTCCCCGCAAAAGCTGCCTTGGATGGCCCCTCCAAACGCCACAAAACCTCTCCAGTCAGAGGAGGTGGGCACTGGTAGCAAGGTCACCAGCCAATTCTTGGGATGGTAGTAATGCCGAAGGAGCCAGGCTCTTTAACTAGCACGTACGTAACTCCGAGGCTGGAACGATTTTTGACTACTTTAGGGGAATAAGCGAGTGGTTCCTCTCGCTCCAGCCGGCTTTTGCGAGGGGCAATATTTCATGGTGATCACAGATGGTCTCATTCATGTTTGGGTAAAAAGAATATCAAATCCTGACGATCCCATGGTCACCTGTGGCTTGCGTATCTGGACCCCAAATAACAAAAAGATGAAAAAAAAAAAATCCCACTATTTCCGTACCTGTCCCTTCCATCTTGCAAGGGGGTGTGTCTTTATGGGTTGAAAGGAGACCAATCCCGACCGAACTGCCCACGAGCGTGGCCAGCAAGGGTTGTGTTTGCACTACTGGTCTCTGGAGCACATCGGCTCCACAAATGGTAGCCAAGTCTCAAAGCAAAGGCAGCAGCAAATTACCATTGCACCATCCTCCGTGGTACTCCTGTACTTGAAAAGTGTAATCAATGCTACGCAGAACACAAGGCTGGAAGTCATGGCCTCCAACATTCTGCATCATGACAAGGGAAGAAGAGATCATAGATCATGGATCAGTCTGCGGCCCATTGCTGGTTCTGATCACTGCATTTTCTCCTTTCGCAGTTAAATGTTATCTCGGCACCCCAACAGATCAGACACCATGATCAAACTCCAACAAGCTCAGGTTTTATGTACCAGAACGAACATTAGTTCTCCGCTGCTATCAA